AACAGTGATTTCGGGCAATTTGAGCGATGGAATTTTTTCCCGTGGGCTCGCAGTGAGCTGGATTTTTCTGCTGGAGGCCTGAACGGTTGCATGAGACCCTGATGAGTCCCGAATGATCATCGGACCAAGAATCTACCACCAAAATTGCCTTCTCGCAGCTGAGTTGTTGCTGCAAACAGTGATTTTGGCCAACTCTCTGAACAGAATTTTTTTCCGTGGGCTTGCAGTGAGCTGGATTTTTCTGCTGGAGGCCTGAACTGTTGCATGAGACCCTGATGAGTCCAGCATGATCATCGGACCAAGAATCCACCATCAAAATCACCTTCTCGCAGCTGAGTTGGGGTGGACCGTCTCATCAGGACGGTGGCCGTAGGGAGTGTGTGTGTGTGTGAATAAACCGGTCGAGGGCCTGTGTGTCGAGGCGTGAAACGTCCCAGTCGAGGCGTGAAACGTCCGACTGAACGCCTCGACTGGGACGTTTCACGCCTCGACACACAGGCCCTCGACCGGTTTATTCACACACACACACACTCCCTACGGCCACCGTCCTGATGAGACGGTCCACCCCAACTCAGCTGCGAGAAGGTGATTTTGATGGTGGATTCTTGGTCCGATGATCATGCTGGACTCATCAGGGTCTCATGCAACAGTTCAGGCCTCCAGCAGAAAAATCCAGCTCACTGCAAGCCCACGGAAAAAAATTCTGTTCAGAGAGTTGGCCAAAATCACTGTTTGCAGCAACAACTCAGCTGCGAGAAGGCAATTTTGGTGGTAGATTCTTGGTCCGATGATCATTCGGGACTCATCAGGGTCTCATGCAACCGTTCAGGCCTCCAGCAGAAAAATCCAGCTCACTGCGAGCCCACGGGAAAAAATTCCATCGCTCAAATTGCCCGAAATCACTGTTTGCATGGACAACTCAGCTGTGAGAAGGTGATTTTGATGCTGGATTTTTCGTCCGATGATCATTCTGGACTCATCGGGGTCTCGTGCAACCATCCAGGCCCCCAGCAGAAAAATTCAGCTCACTGCGAGCCCTTGAAGGAGATGTTTTGTTGGATTTGAATTCTCTTCCAAAACCATCTCACCCATTCCCATTGAAGCTGCAAAGAAATCCTACTGAAATACAAAAGTATCTAAATATGCACTCTAATGTATCCAATATAAGTACGAAGAATGAGTATTAGATTCACTGTTTCTGGCTGAGAACCAGCACAGAGACAGCCAAAGGCACAACACTGGCAAAACCAAAACTTCTTGCCTTCTGCCAGCATACAAGAAAGTGTTGAAGACAAACCCACGTGCTGCTCCATGGTCCAAAGAAAGCAAATGCCCACCCACTCATGCCAGCGGTGTTTTCCCTTAGCCCAGATGTTCACTCTCATAGAGTTCCGCCTGAGTGCCCTCGGCAGGGTGCTACCGCTTTTGCATCCCTAATGGGTCTAGCCGACCCGCCAAGGAGGAGGGGCCTTCCTAAGCCTTGAACCAACAATTGAGCACTCAGAATATCTTGAAGCACATGGCATTACGCTGGCCTGCATGCCTTCGACTCCTCTCGATCCTTCTGAGACTTCGTGCTAGGCACATTTATGGCAGACATCGGCTCCATTCACGTGTGAGACTAAGAATGGACCCCCTTGGCCACGGAATTGTCTAAAAATTGGTTAGGAAGGTGTGGGAAGACTTAAGGATCGATGCTGTGAGCTCACCTAGTGCGAGCTACTTTTGGAACTATGGGAAACACTTGATTATACGAGATTGGCTGTGAGCATCGGGCGCGATGGCCCATGTTTAAATCTCAGTCTTTGGGCTAGAACATTGGTTAGGCATCTGAACGTCATTCAAGAGTTGACCTGCATTTGGCCACTTATGATCCACCCGCGCAGGACTAATAACTGGCCCCCTTGGATCTGCCTAAAAATGGATCAGAAAGATGCGGAGAGGCCGGGGGACCATGAATCTGCACCTACCTAGTTGAATGAGTGTTGATGCTTCTGACCTCACTGTGGGAGTCAATACTATCTCACAATGAAACTAGGTTTCAAGTTTTTCACCACATTTTTCAGGTGAAAAACTTGAAATATTTGTGCTGTAAAACATGAAAACAACTATTTTGCAATTTTCACTGAAAAATTTGAATCAAACTATTTTACATTTTCACCTTGGTTCCAAGTGAGAAATGTGTGAAGAATATCTTGAATTTTTCACTTGGATTTCCCCTGCAAAAAGCGGTGAAAAAACACCTATCTTTTTCAGCACATTTTTCACCAAAAAAACACATCAGAATATGATGAAAAATGTATGAAAACCAGGGAATCTGGGATTCAAAATTTTCACCAAGTTTTCTTTCACATTTTTCACACATTTTACACATCTTTTTTCACTGAGAATTCTGGTGAAAAAAGTTTTAAGTTTTTCACCTCTGTTTTCAGGTTGGAACATGAGTGAAAACTTGGTGAAAATCCGACATGAAATTTCAAAAATTTTGTTTCAAGTTTTCACCTTGTTTTCCACTGCAAATTGTGGTGAAGAATGTTTGAATTTTTCAGCACAATTTTCGGCAAAAAACTGCTGAAAAACTAACGTCATTTTTCACCGAAAATTGTACTGAAAAACTTGAATCTCCCAACCAGTGAAAACGAAAATTAGGAACCCAGAAAGATTCAATGTCCAAGCAATAGCTTTACGGACATACAGTGGAAGTACATGAGACCAATCGGCATGCTCAAACCCGGCCATCACACGGGTCTCGGCGGATGCAGGCCAACAAGGCAAATTGACAGGGTAAAAGCAAAATACAGAAGTCCAGCGATAGAAAGGAAAATTGTCACATCCTTTTTGAGCTCGATTGCATGGTTTTTGCAATTTGAAGGAATCCACTTGACCAAAATGCACCATTTCCAGGTTCTACTTTGTGTCCCAATGTTTTGTGGCCGGAGCTTTGCGGATGTCACGCTTTGATCACGTGAGCGCTCGTTGTGAGTGACTGGCGCCTACCTTACTAGTTGTATCTATTGAAATTGAAGGGTCGATACGAGTACCCGCCACCCCGAACTAAATAATGATCAGGCAGTTGGAGTGTTCTAGTTTGTTGGAGTTTAGTGTTGGTTAGAGTTAAGACTTGTTGTCTTACTCTTTTGAGATTAGATTTCACAGCTGCACGCCACTGCACCGTTTCATCAGTTCCGGGATTGAACCAGTGTCCTCTCGTCTTACTGGAGTCAAAGCACAAGCCATCCGCTTGTACTTGTGCAAAAACAAAGATTTCAGGTGCACAAGGATGCACACCTTATCAACGAATGGGTGCACAGATGCCGAACAATCAGATCAGCTCAACCGAATGATTAATGAAGACAAGGCCAGGGTGGATGAGGATAATATGGACAAGGATGTGGAAATCTTTGCTTGGTTTGGGACGAAGAGGTTGTGGGGGGTTCTGACATTGATGAATGTTAGTTTTCAAGCTGAGGATCAATAATTATGACCATTAGGATACATGACATCACCCTTGATTTGGATTCAGCCGGAGACCTACCTATTAGATGAACTGACGCTGGAGGCCAAATTGTGCGGGTGAATGGTGGCTGGACAGGCGCGCATGTCTAGTTCCGGGGTCTTACAACCGAAAATGGCAGCCGAGATCACTTGGCATCAGCCGACATCCTGCCGGCGCTCAGTAAAACAAGCGGAATTCTCCGGGTTTCCATAATTTCGAGCCTGAATACGTGGCCAAATGTGAACCCAGTGGAAACTAATTTCGCGCTGACACTCGGATATCAATGGTTACACCCCTGTCAGTCAGGAGAGAGTTGAGCCAAAAAGATTCCCACCATGTTGCATAGCTCAAGACCGAGTTGAACAGGCATCTCCCACGACACAGGTGACGGTGTTCAAGGGGGGCAAGTGCGGGCCGTCCACTATCCAGCCCTTCTTAGGCTGATTTTAGACTTGTAAGCAGCCTGCCTATGAATGGCAAAAATATGTGGCGAACACTTTGCCGTAGGCAGACTGATACAATTTGGAGCAAACAATCGACCTGGGCCCGGAGCTTGAAATTTTGGGTGGTGCCAATCACACCGATCACCGGTGCTCCATCCGAAAGTGAGTTTCTCAATCAAACTCGGGTCTATGCTGTGGTCCATACAGCCCATGGAATAAAATTCTGAGGAGACAGAAATTAAGAGGCAACTCCTCCAATTGATTGTTCAACTTTGCCCCAAGGATTAAATTGGGATTGAAGCCAGGGTGTGGCTCACACGACAAATTCAAACTCCAGGCTCAGCCCAATTGATCGTCCTAAATTGTACCAGTCTGCCTATGGCAAAGTGCTTGCCACATATTTTTGCCATTCATAGGCAGACTGGTTACGAGTCTATGAAACGTGCTTCATTCCATAAATTGATGAATATGATGGCCCAAATGATGGCCCCACCCGAAAATCTGCTGTCAATCCACCTTGCCTCCACCATCCACTGGCATGATCTCCACCGCCCACCCAAAGCCCAAGGGTCCGCTCGAGTGTGTTTTGCTTTCTTTCTTTTGGTTAGTACTGGATCTAACGGATATTTGTAGTGACCTGATGCACCACATCGACGCTGCGCTCGCCCCACCGTTGCCACCCCGCCCGCCTTCGTCCTGCCGCACCTCACCCACAACAACAGTCATAACTTGATGCCCAGCGTCAAAGGCGGGAAGCCCATGCTGCTCGTGGCGGACGTCAAGGTGGAGGACGTGTCCCCCTGGCTGCGCTGGGCCGTTTCTCCATGTGTGGTGCTCGCCTCCTCATGGCGCCCCCGCTCGCGCTCCCCACCGCCTTTGTCCTTCCCTTCCTTCCTGACAGCATGCACCCTGCCTCGAACCCTTTCACGGTGTTCTTCCTCCTCTCGCACCCCGCTGTGAGCCATCACATTGTGATAGCTCCTGACGTGACCTCAAAACCCCGAACTCCGAGAACGTGGCCACAGCTTGACACGATTTTAAAAAGCAACCTTACCCAGACATGGCTCGACAGAGAATCGAACTCCGTACCCTCCAAAAACAAAACACCTATGTAGGAATTCGGAATGCATTACCGCTATGCCACCAAGCCGTTCTCGGACAACAAAAGAAATATTTTAAACGCAAATGGCTTGACAGAGAATTGAACTCCAGACTTTCCGTTGAACTATATGAACATTGCATATAGGTACATGGAGCGCATTACCATTGCGCCACCAAGCCATTCAAGAGTCAAACTCAAATGACCACCAAGGAGCAACTCCGAGTTAAAAATCTTATCCTGACCCAACCCATGGCTTGACGGAGAATCGAACTCTGGACTTTCCGTTGAACGATATGCAAATGTCATATAGGTACACGGAGCACGTTACCATTACACCACCAAGCCATTCAAGAGTCGAACTCAAATGACCACCAAGGAGCAACTCCGAGTTAAAAATATTTTCTTGATCCAACCAATCTTGACGGAGAATCGAACTCCAAACTGTTCTACAATATACAAATGCTGTAGAACACCACGGAGCGCATTACCATCACGCCACCAAGCCACAAATCAGATGACCAAAAAGCCAAATGGACCATCACCGTGAAAAAGAAGGGTTTCCGTCATAGTGGCTTGACGGAGAATCGAACTCCGGACTTTCCGTCAGACGATATACAAATGCTATAGAACACCACGGAGCGTGTTACCATTACGCCACCAAGCCGTACAAATCAAACGGCCGACTAAGACTATCGCCGTGAAAAAAAAGGGTTCCGTCATAATGGCTCAGCGGAGAATCGAACCTAGGCATCGGAGTTTGCTCAGTTCACCCTAGCTAGTAGTATTTTGAATGGACTGTTCAAATCCTTGTACGGATATCCCCACCAATATTACTTAAATCCTCCCCACATACTTGTCTACCGCGACAGAACAAATTCCGCCTAGAGGACGAGCATTTAAACATAGCCCGGATCGCCCCACCATCTGGCAGTTTGAAGCACCGCAGTCCGCATCACACTGCCCCTTCCTTCCTCTTCGCTTTCGCGGGCGACGACAGCCCCAGAGTACACTGCGACGACGCAGCTGTACACCAAGGGCCCGTCCGACTTGCTTTTGCTGGTGTGGACCGTCGTTGTCTTCAGCACCTCGTGCTGAGCCATATGACGCTCCCCGCCCTCGTAAGACAGTGGAGCCTTCGTAAGGAGGCAGCACTCATGCGGTAAGGAATCTTACCATCAACTTACCCCAGTGAATTTTTTGAGTACTACCACTTCACTCGAGGCAACGGGACCAAATTTATGTATTCCTACACAGCTAAATATAATACATCAACATGATTAGCCCGGAACAGAAACACGCCCTGGTTCATCCTGCAAAGGGAGAGTCTCCTCCTGTTCCCTCCTTGACTGGGTGATGCTCGTTGGTTGAGTATCCAGCTTCGCCGGCCATGTAGCAGGTGCATTGAGGTCAACGAGAAGGTTCAATGCCCTTATTTTGTCCCTGATTCCAGCAAGCCTCTTGTCAATATGACCAACTTGCTTTGCCTGTGATGCCCTTTCAAACAAGGGTCTCGCTGTTTCCCACAGCCCTCCTGCATTCACCACATCCCCATGCACTTTTGAAATATCCCCCAGGTGAAGCATGCACTCTGCTCTACTGCGGTGCACATCCATTTGAGTAAATCCTTCCAAAGCAACAGTCAACAGACTTGTTGCTGTCTGGTAGTCATCACTTGAATACACATTGGCAAGAAACTGGAGAGCTTTGTGAATTTCCAGCCTCTTTCCGAGCTTGAGGCTATGGACCAAGAATGTAACTGCGGAATTACATGAAGGATTGAGGCGGACATCCCCCAGTTTCTCCAAACAGTAGCTTACACTGCTACTGTCTTTGCCCCAGGTGGAGGTCAAATATTGTCGGAACAGGCTCTTTGCTGCTGAGACATCTCCCTCTTGCACTATGAGGGCTGCATGGAAAATATCACACCAGGTGGGGATCATTGAATACCCCAAGCTTGAAGCGAGTTGATTGGCTGTGTCAAGAGTTTGGTACACTTCATGCTTCACTTCCTCCATTTCCACATTAATTTGTGCAATGCTGACTAGATTCAGGAGATGCTGGAAAGGACGTTTTTCTATGGTGAAATTGTTCATAATCTGAGTTCGAATGTTCAAAGCTTGAATATATTCAGATTTTAAGAAGTGGACTTCTGCCTGAGAGCCCATAATTCCACTATCAAGTTCCTGACCAGACATACCACAGGGACTGAGGAGATCCCTTGCTCTGTTGAATAGAAAGATGCTGTGATTAAAGCGACCAAGGCCATACCAGCACATGGCTTCAGTTTGAAGTGCTTTGGCTTCCATGAATAATTGTCCGGAAATCTTTGCCAGCCGCTGTGCTTCCGATGCATGCTTCCAGCCATCCGAATAATCACCACTTGCCCACTTTATCGACCCAAGTGTAGCCCGCAGACGAGATTGTCTTTTGATATTCTTAGTTGAAATTGCTAATGCAAGTCCCGTTTCAGCAAAGTAGATAGCTCTTGGTATATCATTATAGGGAGAATGGTAAAATGTTGCCAACTGAGCATAAAAGCTGCCTGAACCATCATTTCAGTAATTGATGAAATACTTAATGGATGACTAACATTTAAGATCTGGATCATCAAAATATGCCATATACTCAAGGGCTTGCTCCACTAGATGTTGGCCATCGGGAACAGGATGATATATGTGTCCTGACAAGAGGATCATAATAAAATGAACCTCGAGTCGATGGTCTTTGGGGTGGGGAAGAACACTCGAGATTTCGTAGATTAATTGAGTCTGGCCATGCCCAGTCATTCTCATGAAGCGATCAAACTGACATGTGCAGTAAATGATATTGATGAGGTCAGGGTTTTGTTTGTTTAGACCATTTCTCAAGATACTCTGGATGTTCGCAGTGTTTGGTATTATTCGATCTACAATCCCGGGACTTGAGCTTGTCCCATGGTATGTCTCATGCATGTCAAGTAGCTTGTGAAAGTGTTTTAGGAGTGGTTGAATATGATGAGCCATAGGGGGGTGCATTTTCTGCATATATTCACGGATGGGGACCAATGCCTTGAGCCGTTTCTGATCGTCTGCATAAGCTAGGGAGGTGCGAAGTAAAGTTGCTTTGCATGCTAGAATATTGCCAATTGGGATTTTGCTTTGCAGTAGTTCTATATCCGAAAGGCCATCTGGTAACATTGAGAGAAGACTCAACAAATGCTGCGAATCCGGCATGCTTGCCAGTCGGGGGCCTTGCATGGACAGCGAAATCGACAACTCCAAATTTGATCCTTTGTTATAGCCTTCTGAGAGTAGTGAGGTCCGCTCTGTCTCCCAGCGATGCATCACACTGGCTAAGCCTTCATAGTCCACTAAATGGGCTATAAGATCGATTGCCAGGGGCATATTATCAGTCACACTGAGGATTTTGTCGACATCTTCAGCAGAACAGCCATCATCGACAATGTCAATGAAGGCTTTGCGGGCAGCATCTTGTGTCAATGGCTTCAAAGGATGCAGGAAAGGGTGAGTCCACTTGACATTTCCTGGCCTCTCTGCTCCGCGCATTGTTATCTACGGGGCTTTTAGTATAAATCAAACGAAATTACTCTCCTGGCTTACAATCAATGCCAAATGGGATATATCTGTAAGCAAGGCCAAGAATTTTTCAACATCTCCACGGGTCTCTCTTGGCTCCCAGACAGTCTCGAGATTGTCCAGAATCAACAAGCAAGGAGATTGTTTCGAGAAATGACGGATGATGGGTTGAGTGAGATCCTTTGCTGGCTTCAGGCCCACATGCACTGCTATCAGTGCTGCGAGTTGGACACTAGTTGATGCTGCATCACAGGCAACAAAGAAACGATGTTGGTAATATCTCCCAGAGATTATTGGGTGATGGAGAATGGCCCTCGCAAGGCTTGTTTTCCCCATTCCCCCTCCTCCTAAGATTGCTATCCGGGGGGTCTCCTGGTCAAAAGCTTGGATAATGGCTGAAACATCAGATTCACGGCCATGGAATCTCTTTGGTTCGGAGGGCAACAACGAGAGCGAGTTTGAGCTTTTTGAGGAGTCACAAACAAGCCATGCAGCATTGAATCCAAACTCATACCTGGCGTAGGAGCTGGAAAAGACCTTGCTGATCTGCCACAATAGTCAGTTTGAAGCACTGGGTTGACCGAAGACATACAGTGGATCCGCTGTCTGAATTCCCTCCGTCTGAAAGGGCTGAAATTAACTCGAGAACTTCCTGGTGCATTGTCTGTGCATTTTGCTGCATTGCTCCCATATCGCTGAACACTGTGACAGCCTGAATCTGAGGGATTGCTGTCACTGGAAGATACTGAGTGAACAGAAATAAATCCCTTGCCTTGAACACCTTGAGTCCTTGTTCTAGTCCTAGATGGCATTCCTTTAATAATGCCCTTATTTCACCTTGACGGAAAAATTGCTTGATCTTGCTCTTCTCCTGCACTGCTTCAACGAATGCGTGGATCTTGTGCAGAGTTCTACGGGAGTAAGTCATATTGTCAGAGTGAAAAGCAAACCTCACTCTGTAAATCTCCCCAAATTGTCTATCATTTTTGGCGATAATTTACCACCAGTATCAGATGTTACATGAACATAAATTATGGCATGTAGGAGCTCGTGTATTTGCTCCAGCATCTGTGTACAGTCATCCTGATTCCGCTTGACAGTCTAACAAACTTCAGTAAGGAGTGGGATGGATATATTGTCTTAAAAAAATCACCTGGACAACAGCCAACAGAGACCGGGTCACGTTTGAAATAAGTTCCAAGAATGGAGCCCTCAGGCCTTCGGAAACCACATCGAAAGTAGTGAGAGCGGCTTTGAGGGAGTCAATAATATTGTCCAGGCGAATTTTCGCGGGAGTGGGCTGAAAGGGCATTGTCGTTGCAGTGATGACAGCACCGACCAAAGTGCCATCCTTATATCTCACAAAGTGATCTGATTGCACCCCAGCATCCATTATTTGTATTACCGGAATCCCCGGGTTTCATCTACATCTCTTCGGGTTCATCACTCCTGCTAAGGATAGAGGGGCGATCTATATTGGAGTCTGTAAGTGCGTCGTGTGAGCAGCATCGGAACAGGCATTCATTTGACATCGCAGATAATGGCAACGCTGGAGCTACGCTATGTCCGCTAACCTGAAGCATAGATGAATCACGTACAGTGACATGTTGAGGACATGAGAGGACATAGCGGTGAAGCTAATACAGGCACCGGTATTTGAAAAGAAAGATAAAAAAAGACAGATTAGCAGTTCACAGTGATCTGGAGTTTCCCTGGATGCAGCTACAAGAGCACTGAGAAAAGGGACATTGATTGTGAACGCACTACGAG